CCGCTGTTGGTCTCTCTTGCTGTTTTGTCGTCTTTGGGCTAAGGATTGGAGAATTAAACAAACTACGTATTTCCCCTCTTGATGACTGCTGATGAACTCCTCTCTCCTCACCTTTCCCTCCCCCCCCCCCCCCCCCCCCCCCCCCCCCCCCCCCCCCCCCCCCCCCCCCCCCCCCCCCCCCCCCCCCCCCCCCCCCCCCCCCCCCCCCCCCCCCCTTCCTTTTCAACGCAGGACACGCGAACACTAACCTGTTTGTTCTCTAGGGGCCTCCTTTTTGTGCTCTTGAGGGCCAACTTTTTCCGGCTAGGATTGTGTATTCAACAAGACGCGACTGGTATCCTTTCTATCTGCCATTATTCGTGTTAATAATCAAATTATCCTTCGGCGTAGCTTTCAAGCTTCCAGTGGTGATCTTTGGTTCTGTCTCCCTCTTTGCTGTCTTTCTGTGTCGCTCCTTTATATCGCGATGACCATTTACAAGTCTGTGTCTACGAGTTTAATATTTACCCTAGCTTGCTTCTTTATTGCTTTGGTCTTCATCATATCATTATTGTTCTTCATCGACAGAATTTCTACGTTGCGTGTGGTGTTCTTATTCGCTCCCGTCTCTCTCTCTCTCTCTGTGTTTGCCCCTTCGGATCCTTAACCTCGTTTTCGTTCCCTTCTTTTGTTTTGTCATTTCCCCTCCTCTCGTTTTCGATCGTCTAACTTTGTTATACCTTGAGGATGCAGCGTGGTGGTCCTCACCCGCTCCCTGACCCTATGTTGTCGCGTACGAGTGGCAGAAGCCGGCTGAGGGCATAAGGTTGAGGTTTTTTTTTTTTTGGTTTGTAATGAATCGAAGTGCAAGAGACACAGCGTATTGCAGCTTACATGTGCATTGTGCCCAGTAGACCCTGAGAGGAAGGGTGAGGAAAATGTGATAGGAACGACCTGAAACGGAAAGCTTAAGAGGGTGTGAGACTGGCGGACATGGAAACCTCATATTATAGAACTGGAAGGAAGGAGAGCTGGACAAGGCGGCTGAGGGGTACGGTGGGAAAGTGCCGACTTCGTAGGGGATGTATAAGAGATGCAGGGTCACGTAGAGGGGAGGGGAAAGCGAGGGATGAGAATGCTAGTGCCATTTTGTTCGACGGCGTGTATGATTTCCTCTGTCATGTGTTTGTTTGTGTGTGTGAATGTCTGTGCGTGTGTCTGTGTGTGCTCGCTTTTCGTCTATGGGTCCCGTTGCGTGCGTGTGTTTTCCGTGTGTGTGTGTGTGTGAGAGAGAGAGAGAGAAAGAGAGAGAGAGAGAGAGGTTGGGCGTGTGTGTGCTGTGTGTGTGGGTGTCACGTGTGCATATGTTACGTGCCATCTTTTCGTTCATCGGTGCTTTTGCGTGCGTTTGACTACCGTGCGTGTGTTTGTGTGTGTGTGTGAGAGAGAGAGAGAGAGAGAGAGAGAGAGAGGTTGGGCGTGTGTGTGCTGTGTGTGTGGGT